CGTGCAGTGTATGTTGAAGAAGATGTCCCACTGGTTCGCGCACTACACTCAGCTTACTCCCAAAGTTCCCACAAAGGACAACAAGCCCAAGCAGGACAAGTCCGATCTACGTGTGGGCTTCGATTACATCAGAGCTCAGGGGCCAAAGACTAATGTCAATAACCAACAGACTGAGTGGGCCGAAATAGAGACGCATCGCTCTGACAGTCCCTTGTACGGCTGGTCCGCTGGTCTGGTAAAGGAATGCCTTCGCAGTCTCAGCACAGGCAATGTGTACGCGAAGCCGGACCACAAGTTCCCGCTGACTCTCCACGACATAGCTGGCTGGTTCTTGGACGAGGTGCTCATCCACATCTTGCGACCTGCGTTCTAAAACAATTGTGTTCATGGACTTGGCAGAAAAAGGCAAAACACCGGTTGCCCAGGCCATTGCCATGTGTTTCTCGGAGTATCTCATTCTGAAGGATGGCGTGGAATCCGAGTATTCTCCGGGGTTCCGCATCTGCTCTTCCCTGGACCAACTTCGCGGTGAGTCTGGCCTTAAATACAGGCCGGATATACTAGATGACGGTGATTCGTCTTCCATCCCGGTGACGAAACTAAAAAGCTTCCTGGACTCGAGCCTCGTCGAGACTCATACCGTCGAGCGGTGGACTGCAGCCCGCTTTGTCAAGGGCCAGCTGCGTATATTGTGCGACAATAAGGTCGATGAGGATGCGGAGAAAGACACGCCCGAGCATGCCATGAGTGTGAAGTTCCAGACGTTTATGGAGATGACGGCGCCGGCTTTTCCGGAAAAAGCTAGCTCGCAAGACAAAATGGCTTGTTACAAGCGGGCGCATTGGATCGTCAACATGCCTGGGGCTATTTATCTTCGGCCTGCAGGGACTTCGAAGGACGACGTTCGCCGCATTCCCTACATAGGCGGCGTGACAGACTTCATCAGCCCGGAAGGCCACGAGATCTTGGGTCGCTTGTACGACGGCATCACAGAGCCTCCTGAGAACTGGGCCACAAAGCGACAGTGGAGTCTGGATCTGATGGCT